AAGAAATTGTTTCTATAGAAATGAGGTGGCATTTGCCAAGTTAAACACAGGCAAATCTACAATTTGTGGGTTGGCAATGATGTGTGTTAGCCTGCTGAGCATCCCGCAAACTTACATTCTTGGAGAAATCTTGTCAAATCGATAAAGCATGGTGTTTACATTGAGACGAAATGCCCCCGAAACTGAGCTATGGAATGATTTCTGCAGGAGAAGATGATGATCAATGTGAAGGCGAGCAGTAGACAGGGAGTTCCGGGGACCGAGGCAATGAGGAGGAGAGAGAGAGAGTCTCTGTCTAGACAATAAAGTGCTTCAGTTAATATATGGGCACGCTGGCAGGAGTAGGTGGGGAGACACTGCTCTCCTTACTGTTAGTCCCTGTGTCCCTATATGATAAAAGTGGGCATGAGTCACACAGACGCCATTGTTGTTCGCTGATTAACAGCCCTTATTCAAAAATGCACTTTCAGAACTGTCTAGTTATGAGTACAGATAACTAGACAGCTCAAAAGACTGTATTATACCCTAACTGCCTTTATTTAAATGTAATACAGGTAAAGTTGGAAAAATAGAAGAAGGTATTGTTGTAAAGATTTGATTAAATTTACAATAAATGCAATGATGCACACAGAAAAGAGTCTTGTTGAGCCTTTTCATGTACAGTTGAAGTCTTCCTAGTTACATTTATTTCAGCAATCCTATAAAGGTCACATTCAGTTGACAGGTCCTGAATAATAATAACTATCAGGCACATTGCGCCAATGATTGAATTACATCCTGATCTTGCTTAACTTTATCAAACCTGGTCAGGCTGATTAATTATTTTTCAAGTGTTTACTGTGTGTGACAGGCATGCATAGTCCAGAATTATGCATCTTTCAGGAGTGTAAGAGGCAGCTGGATCAAATACAAGCCCAAAGTAACCTGGCAAATGATTCCAAATATGTTTTGAATATCAAAGCAAAGCATTCATTTCTCAAAAAGATGTTTAAACTCAGTTTCTTATAATTAATTACTTTTTTGTTCCTTTGCAGGACACACTTACATCAAAATGGGGATTAAGGAGTTGGCCATACTTCTTTTGGTCCTTTCTCTTTGTCTAGTGGAAGGATCTGCCAAAGAAAAAGGGACTAAGAAAGGAAAGAAGAAAGGAAAACAGGTCTACTGTCCATCGTAAGTACAGTGTAATGAAAAGGTACACAATGTGGCATATAACAGGCAAACTAAAACTGTAGAAACTTAAGTTAGAATTTATTAGTAAATAATAACAGCAATATAATTCCTATACCAGTTTAAACTTTCCCCATCTATAGATCATGGTGGTATTTTTTTCTCGATTTTAAAACATGACTGTGACTTTTCAGGCTTTATTGACTGCTAGGTTCTGCTAATGTTTTCATTACATTCCCCTGGGATGTGTGAGCTATGAAATGAGAATTCCATGCGTTTTGTGAGAGGAGCACATGTCACGTATCAGAACGGGGGTAAACAATTCATGTCATGCCTTAGAGGGTTATTCTTTTTCTACATATTGAAGAACTGCCCCATCTACTTCCTAAAATGGTAACAAATGGTTGGATGATGAAACTTCTCGATGTGAGAAATAACCTGCTTGATGTGGTATTGGCAACTGCGAGCTCCGTGACATATTTCATGTTTAATACTCAGATGCCTTTGTGAATCAAGGAAACCACTTCGTTCCAGTTAAGCCCCTTGTGCTTGAGGTTGTCAGGAAAGTCGGTTAAAAAGAGAAGGAAGAAAAAGGGTTTTGTGGGTGGGAATTTTGCATTTCACTTTGATCAGGCAAACCACAGAACATATACACCCTGAACAGCACTTACTCCAGCTCACTTCAACTCATCCTCATGTGCGTGATAAGGTTTACATAATGCTACGTAAAGTGCTTTGAGAGGGGGAAATTCTTTGTCGGGAGAATTCGTTGCCACCCATGAGGAGGCTTTATGTTTCTCCTGTTTCTCCCCGCCGGATCCTGTCCTCCCCTCTCCTGGTCTCTGTCCCATTGTTTTTTTTATTAGTCAGCCTCAGGAATTAGGCGGTGTTTGCCCGAATGTCTGTGAAACGGTGGTAATTTTCAACAGACCGTTGTGTTTTTGCTGTCTTTTTATAGCAGTGATTCAGAAAGCAGAATTACTGTGCAACAATACACGAGCTAATAGGATATGTACACTCTTTAAAATGTGCACGGTGCATGCTTTAGTCTTGGGGTAGTGTATATATATATTATGAATCACAGTGAATTGTCGTCGGTGCCTTTGGTTTTCTGGTTCAAAGACATCCACCGGGCTAAAAGTCACTCTAATTTGGCAAAGGTGAGGCTCTGTTGTGATCGCGTCCCTTTTCTTCTGTGAAAGGTGCACGCTGCCTCTAACCTAAAGCTTGCTGAGATAAGATCCAATATCCCCTTTAACCCTGAGCTGAATAAAGAGAAATGGCTCAGAGATGGATGCTCATGACTCAGGTGGTTGTGCGGTTGTTCTCCAGTCACAGAGATGTGTGGTTTTGTCCCGGCCCCACCACATGTCACAGTGTCCTTGGGCAAAAACACTGAGCAACTACGGTGCCTTGATCTGCTCATCCATGTGTGATCGGAGACAAAAAGCTCTTTATTTGAAAAAAAAATATTTTTTTGTACGTATAAGTGAATCATAAGTGATTTCATTCAAGTGTGCAAATGTTTTCTTTGATTATTCAAAAAAAGGGCAAAATGCTCTCAGGGCTTTGTCATCTTTCACGTTGATGATTTGGAAACAGTTCAGACTAACAGTGCATTTCATTTAAAAGCATCGCTTTACCCGAACATTTGCTGGGTGGTCCAAGTCTTAAAAGCCCTTTTAATCCCGTAGTGGTAGCTCTCTCTGCTCGTAGTTTAATCAAAGAGTACACAGAGCAGCTATAAGGGAGTGCATCTGTGTTGTTCAACTGTCAGGAATTTGAACTGCTGAAGTTCCCTCTTTGTCTCCTTTGTTTGCAGACAGCTGTCGTCTGAGGATCTGGCTCGAGTCCCTGCGAATTCAACCAGTAACATCTTGAACAGGTTACTGATCAGCTACGATCCCAGAATAAGGCCCAACTTCAAAGGCAAGTCTCCTGCCCTCTTTATCTCCTTTTTTATTTCACGTTTTAGCTGAATTTCCGTCACACTAATTGAAAATACGTATCGCCAGATTCCTTCATTTGGATACCGTGCTAGATAAGGATCACGGAAATGTGCAGATATAAAAAATGTCTATCCCTTTCCGCCATATGCATATTCTTACAGACGATGCTCTTGGCTAGACGATGTTGATAAATGCCATCAGGGACAGAATGACTGATGGAAAAAACATTTTATGTAATGTTGCAGTCGTCACATTTATCTGACACACAGAAGACCAAAGATTTGAAACTCGGCAAAAACAAACTTTCTACAATTTCCTTCAGGATCAATAGAATGGAACATCTATCAGTGGCTATCGAGCATGTGGAGTTGTTTATGTGTTAAATAATGCAATTTCAAAACTTTTTAAAAATTTAAATAGGTCAAAATCCATTTATTTTACAAGTTGCATCACTAAAACATGGAGGAAAAAGCCAAGGAAGGTTTTTGTCAACCTCTGTTTGTTTAATATTTTAAGTACAAATCCTTATTCCTACTAATTAGAGGCTTTTGTCTTTAGCAGGGATTGAGAAGCATTTGACCAAATCTGAATAAAAATGTAACTGTCACATCAAAATCCTTTCTTGTCTGCTATGAAGTTAGATTAGCTGCCTTTATTTCATGCACCTATAAGCCAACAAAAATTGCATTTGTGCTACGAGCATATTCCCACAAGCTCTGAGGTCATCAAAACAAGCACCGGGAAAACATTCCTCAGTCAGACGTTTAGATAACTTCTTTAGAGTGATTTTTCTTTTCATTTAAAACCAATCCCTGACTTACGATGTTTAATTTGAAGGCAGCGCTTTTGCCACAACAGAAAAGTGTAAGCGGATATTTCACTAAATCAACCCTTATTACACAGCCATTAGGCACAATCCTTAAAAACAACAACTTTTTATATTGTTTTATATCTATATTGTTCTATTGTTTTATTATTCACTGTCCAGGAAGTCCGTCTCTGTTCATAGTGCGTTGAAACCATGTATCACAGACAGATGTACCATGCTAGAGTCTCACAGAAATAGCAGAAAAAATAGCTGAGATTACTGGTGGTCTGTCTGATTAGATAGTTTTAGCGGTCTTCAGGTGGATCTGCAGATAGATTCCAGCCCATGGCACTTGGCAGCCAGAACTGTATCTGGAACCTCGTGTTTGATGTGTAGTGAGCAGATCCATTCCCGCCCTGACCGCCTGTTACCGGTCCAGCAGCCAAACATCTGCTCTTGATTTTAGGGTGGGCTGAAAGCTCCCTGTCCATTAACATCCATGTCATAATCTCCCAAATTCACTTCTAAGCCCTGCCTTGTGCATTGTGTTGCCAATGTCTATGAACTGGGGAGCTGCTTTTAAAGGCCCAAAAAGAGACTTTCAAGTTTAGGCCAAAAGCTCTTATGAATATTAATTATTTACACGGCTGAAGTCATGCAAAGAAGATACGGGCCGTGTGCCACTCCCACATTAGGTGCATTATTTCAGCAATGGCAGGGTTTTCCTAAGAGCACTGAGGCATTCAGTCAACTCCACAAAGCAAATTATTTATTTAAAGCAGGGTGAGTTCTCTTTTCATGGAGGATTTTATTAGTTTATGTAAAAGGCCAAGTGAGGCGAGATGTCTGACAGTATTGTGGCAAAGTAGATGTGATGCTAATGAAAAGGGATTTTGGTTTTGTTGAGCATCTCACCAGCGAAAGTAAGATAAAATGAAGATGTATTTTTATAGAATATCATAAGAGTTACTGTGAAATCAAAGACACTGGTGTTTAAGTCACATAGGCAAAGTAAAAATGCATCTTGCATTCATTACGAAGTATATATTTTTCTCTCATCCCCCTCAAACCAGGAATTCCTGTGGAGGACAGAGTGAACATTTTCATCAACAGCTTTGGCTCCATCCAGGAAACAACCATGGTAAGATCTCACTTCTGTCCCTTCCCGATTGTGCTTTAGCTAATCAGAAACAGTGTTTGGAAGGTGAAAACAGCTCACACTTGCAAGTTTTGGGGGGAAATGGATGGTAATATTTCCTGGAGGGCATCACAACATGTAGCTGTGAATAAGTATGAACACTTTGCCATTTGTATGCCTCGTTAAGCTGATGCTTTAACTGCTGATAAAGACGTGCAATTTGAATGCTAATAACCATATTAAACTCAAGGACGATGCCATGTCGACATTTGATCACTCCTGAAACAATAAAGGCGACTTTGCTAATTAGGGACTGTTAAAAAAAGCCTTACCTGTGTTTTGTTTGCCTTTTTAATTTAAAAGTGCTGAAGGGAAGCCAATTTTTTCGATCTAGTGATACAACAAAATATCGTCAAAGCCATCACTATACAAAGGTTTAACTCAAATCTCTGTCTTGTGGCATATTTGACAGGTTGTAAAGGCAATTTATTATGAGAAAAATCTGATTTTCATTGAAGGGATAAATGTATAGATTTATAAGGCTAACAGTTATCATAGAAGTTACTCCCAGACCCACTGGTATTTTTCATTATTGCCTAATTGAGATGAACTGGAGAAGTAAAATTGTAAACAGTCTGTTGGAGACTGAGGCTAAGAAAGAAGGAGAACAGACTGAATATAGAGGAGAATATATGGGAGAAGTAATTAGAAGAGCAATGAGGCTGACAAAGATTTAGACAGGAGGAGAGTAAATAGACTTAAAAAAGAACTCCAGAGCTTATAAATAGACAAAATATCACTGAAGCAAAGAAAAAAAGTCAAGTAAAAGAAAGTGAGACATACACAGCTCTTACACAGCCATTTTTTATATAATCTTTGTCACCTTTCTCCTTAAATGTAGCACAATATGGGGTGCCTGATCACAGGAAACGTCTCCCTTCTTTAACATCTTACTCAGCCAAACACCAGTAAACTTGCATTGTATTTAATACATATAATTTTTTATATTATGATTGAAAAGCTCAGCAGATAATTTGATGTTGATTTCAATGCTAATTTGATATTGTGAGAGGGAATAAATTGCACCCGCTGTTGTTGTTGGTTCTTAGCTTGAGTTTTTCTTGGTGATTACAACGCACAGTTGTCTTAAATCTCCCCGCAATCGAATGTTGCACTGGCAGGTTGATAGTTAGCCAGAGCGACTATTTATGCCCGTGTCTGGTGTTGAGAAAGGCCATCGTATGGGAATTGGCTCGCATCTCAGTCAGACAGAAAAGAGCAAGCAGTGGCTGTTTGTGCTGTCAAGACGATGAGATAGATGGCTTTCTAAAATTAGGCTGGGTAAAAATGTCAGCTTGCATTTAACAATTACACCACAGAGTTCTTTCTCCAAAGTATTTTATAATTAAAAAGCAAATTAGTGCTTAGTTTTGGTTCCTGCTTAATTTAGAAATTACCATCCACGTACAATAAAAAATGTTTTTTTTTATTAGTTGTTGTTTATCTTAATGTGTTCACAAGTGTATGTCAGTAAAGTGTACCAGATGACATGGAACAGTTTAATTCCTGAATTTAACATCAAATGTGGATTCATCTGTGTGTATTTTTTATTTTACATTTACACTATATTCCGCAAAATTTGTGCACCAGCCATCATTTGTTATTGGTTCTAATTTTCTTTAATCTTAAAAAGTAGCCATAAGCATTAGTTCCCAAAGCATCTTTTTTAAACATCAGTTTTTATTTGGACAAAACAGTGAAGAAATAAACACAAAAAAAACAGTAAAAAAACGAACAAAACCAAAGTCCAAAACTCCAGAATCCCCAAGTCACATTTTTCCCCACTACTTTAGTTTAATCTATGAAAAAAAACAATGACAAACTTGCCTGTTTTATCATAGTGTGCGGCGTATTTTCTGTCAGGTCTAAAAATACAAAACAAGGCCCATAAACAGATGCTTGTGTTTAAATAGATAACAAGAAAACTCATCCACATAACGGTGTTCATGCAAAATAATCTAACATTTGCATATGTCAGGAAACCATTGGAGTCGTCTTCCTGACAGAAAACAATGGAATGAAAGTGTTTTGCACAGGATTGGTATATGAGAATTAAACATTCAGTACTTCATATATATTTACACACATATAATGCCATAAGGATGTTTTAGGGTGAATTAAAAATAGCTTCTTATGTGATGGGTCATTTCCTTTCTGCAGAGTTTATATTTGATCCATTTATTCAGCCCAGTTTGATAATTCAGACATTCAGACATTCATTATTATGGATTGTACTTGGGTCTTTTTCGACAAAAATCCTATACAGTATACTCTCACGATGATATTAACCTTAAAAAATATCCATATCTAACACTCTGACCTTCTACTTCCTCACACAAATTAGCTTTACAATCCGCTGGATGTTGGTGACTCTTGAAAAAGATTAGTTGTTTAAATGGAAAACTTTGAAGCAGAACAAATCTTTTAAAAGGCATCTTTGCAATAATAAACAGGGGGAAGGAGTGAAAGACTGTTTGATAGTTTATTTTTACCACATTCCAACAAAACAAAAAGAAAATACTCCCACAAAAAGCTGGAATTTTGCCAGCTTTTTGACATATTTGACACATCATCCATCTTCACTTTGAAAATGAATTTTCCAGCTGGACACAGAGCAGCAAAGTGATACTTTCCCACCAGAAAGAATGTAGACATTTCACTAATAAGCTCACTAATGGGGTATGTGCTGTTGCTGTGATGATAACTTTTGACCCTCAGACTGTGCAGCTCCCTACATGTTAGGCAGCGTGTTTGACCCACGGTTGTAAAATGGCACTTAGTTTCAATCGTTAAGAAATTTAGAAAATTGGAAAAATATAACCCTGATTATTTTTTTCTAAAACCTAAAACAACAGAGTTAGTTAGATATGGAAGTTCTGCAAACTTTAATGTTTCCAGATATTTCTATTCTTTTGCAAGTCACCTTAAAATGGAATTTGTTTCAGATTTTTGTCAGGATTCCATTGTTCAAACACATGTTTTTGATATTGATAAAAAGATTTAAAGTCAACAAATCCAAGGATATTTTGACTCACTTTTATCTGGCGCAACTTGGAGGAAAATACCAGATTTTATTCCACTGACAGATGTATCTTTCCGATAATCCGTTCGAAAGCGACTGTCTTCTGTTGACATGGATGTGAACCGTGCATGTTTGTGCTCGTCTGCTGTTGAACATGACAGGATTACAGAGTCAACATCTTCCTGCGGCAGCGCTGGAATGACCCCAGGCTGAGGCTCCCAGACGACTTCAAGTCAGATTCGCTCACCGTTGATCCCAAGATGTTTAAATGTCTTTGGAAACCTGACCTTTTCTTCGCTAACGAGAAGAGTGCCAACTTTCACGATGTGACCCAGGAGAACATTCTGCTCTTCATCTTCCGCAATGGAGACGTCCTCATCAGTATGAGGTAGTGCTTTACCTTTTTCTTCAAAAAATATTAGTTGAGTTCTTTGTTTGTGTTTTGCAGTTCATGATTGCGAAAAACAAAATGTAAAGAAGGCATGGTTTTATAAAAAAAATATGGCTCAACATGCTATTAAATTGAGCTTTTTTTAATGTGCATATCATATTCAGCTATTACTCAAAGTCTGGTCATCAAGTACAAAGTACAAAAGTTTTTTCAAACATGTTGCTTTCACATAATCAGACATCTAATGTATGTGTAAATTGAATAAAAGGTTTCTGTAGTTAAGACTGACTGGTGAGGAATTTTGGGGATAATACACAGTTGTTTAGAGCTTCACACATTACAACTGGTCAAACCTGCAATTCCTGGAGGTTGTTTTTCACTTGTGAGTTGTTGATCTACCTGGCCAGTATGTGAGATGTGGCGGCATAATTCAAGCTCTAAATGGTTGTCAGACTTCCTGGAGATTGTTGGATTGATGATGTGTGTTTAGTGTGTTAAGATCAGGAGCCATAGAAGAAGTCAAACTGTCCTCTGTTTGGTCAATCGGAAAATTTAGCTTCTGATGGTTGGGGCAAAATGGCCCATGTTTTTTTTATTTTAAAGACTGCTGAACGTGCTGAATATTGTTCATCCCAGAAAACCAACATGGTTTTACTCTTCTGATTTTTGGGTCAGATATTACATCTTCAACAAAACAATGGTCATTGTGTTCTAAAATTGTTGGAACTATGCTACTTCCGTGTGATGTGTTTCTTTCTGTTTGGGTAAGCTTTTATATAAAGGGCTTCTTTTCCAGTGATTTCAGAATTTTTAGGTTCAGAGTCTGAAATATCTAACAATAATATGAATGCTGCTATTCGCAGCATTTGATAAAGCGATAATTCAAGCTGCAGTGCACAAAAACTGTGCTGGGCCTCAGTCATCTCTGTATAATCCCACATGTGTGTATTTTGAGTGAAGTGTCTCGATAATCCAGTGCAAATGCATCATTCCCAAAAATCTGACTAATCCTTCAAATCCTGTCAAATCTCAAGATTCCATTTTTTTTTGCAAATAATGTTTGAGAAAATGCACTTGTAAAAAAACAAACAAAACAACAGCTATGTTTTCTTCTTCTTCTTTCAGGTTATCCGTCACCCTTTCTTGTCCACTGGATCTCACCTTGTTTCCAATGGACACACAAAGGTGTAAAATGCAACTGGAAAGTTGTGAGTTCCTTATAATATGATGCCACCTTAAGGCACTGTTTTTCTATTTAATTTAAGTTTACTTGTTTGCTTGTTGGTACTTGAGAGATAAGAATAAATGAAGATAGCTTTTAGGATTTTTTTATTAAGTTGTTTGACGATGATTCCTTTTTTTTTAAGAAGTTGATTTAATTCACAGTCTCCTAAAAACAAGAATAAATCATATTATATCGTGTGTTGTGAGAATCTCATTGCAACAAGGTACTTCAAATTGAGTGATTTGAAGACTTTGCTATCTATTGTCATATCAGACTTAACATACTTTTCCATAAAATCCCCCATTTTTTAGTCCTGTGCATGGATATGTGTTTATGTCTATGCAGAGGTGACTTTTGAATGCTTTGTGCCTCCTTTCCAGTCGGATACACCACAGATGACCTGCGGTTCATGTGGCAGACAGGAGACCCCGTGCAAATGGACGCCATAGCTCTGCCGCAGTTTGATATCAGGCAGGAAGATATCGATTATGGAAACTGCACCAAATTCTATGAAGGAACAGGTACCATCTCATACAATAAAATGACAGTAAACTTTTTTTTCTTTTTCGAAAGTAAACATACAATACAAACAGTCATTCAATCTTTATGGCCTCTCCCTGATGTCTGCCTGTGGCTACATATATTTCTTTTAATTTGGACTGTTTCAACAAAAAAAAATCCTTTCATGCAAACCTAAAAAGATACTTTCCATTCCAAAAACTAACCAAGAGGAAAGACTAAAAAATCAAAAGAAAACTGAGAACAAAGAAGTGAGTCCTAAGCTCCAAACTGCTGTGGCTCTATGCCATTTGACCTATACCTTTCTTTTATTCATGGATGCACATTGCTCAAGAATGGCCTTTTACAGTTTATATTTCACATCCTTCGGTGGATGAGTCGAAGTACCAAAAAAAAAAAACAGTGCATAATTCAGTAACGCTAAAAGCTTTGAAAAAAATGAATTATTAAATACCCTGGGAAGAGCAGGGGCTGATATTGTTGGTAATAAATGCCCATGGACAAATCAATTTTCTAATCTGTTTTGTAATAGCTGCAGTACCAGCAGAGTAATTCAGATGTGGCTGCAAATCTGGCCCATGCAGTATTGGCTTTTTTTATGCATTATCAATATCACTATCTACATACGTTCCCTGTAGCAAGGCAGTGCATCTAGTTTAAGTTGCCGTAACTTCAGGGATAGCTAATGTTCAATTCAGCAGGTTACACACTCTCTTACCTGAGCATGTGCATCACTGAGAAAGAATATCAGGAGGGGAAAAGGTGCTTTAAAGGCAGTTTTATACAGCCAGTCAATCCCTGCTTTAGTGTAAGTGGAAAATGGATTAATGCGACCCAATAGAAAGAATGAAATGCACCAGACTGATAAAGCTGTATTTAACAGGTTCATAGGGTTGTAGAGAAGTCCCTGTTTTGTACCTGAATCCTAGGTCTGGTCTTACATTTAGGAGTGATAAGGAATATCTTAATGTTGACTTTCGATCTAAACCAACAAAATCCACGTTTACCTTCAATTTTTCCGTCAAATCCAACAAATGTCATGAATGCATTTCCACCCTCAAATATTTGCAAATCAGATCGATTTTTGCAAAAATCTAGCCGGTTGCTTGGTAAGCAGCCTTATTGTTACTGATGTTATTGATAAGTTGGAAATAGTGGGCACGCTTTTGGTCAGCTGTCTGCTTAGCTGCATGGAAGAATATTAAACGCAAATTAAGGAAATTCTATTTTTATTGCAATTTTTTTTTAAACATTGTGCTTTTATAGGAGAACAAGTCCAGCTTGAAATAACTGATAAAAAGATAATTATACATTTCTAAACTCATGTGCAACTTTTATCTGTGTGTACACTCCCAGGATGTTAGCATTGCTTAAAATGATAAATGAAACAAAATAAGTCAATTCAATCTTCTGGTACTGGGCCAAATGCAGTTTTAGACCTATGTAGGTCAGATTTGCTCTGAATTGAGGAAACTCCTAACCAACAGAGCAGGTATGACCTCACTTTCCTCCCACTTGGGATGCACACGGCTGGCTATGAGTCAGGCTTTTAACAGGTTGCCATAGTTACCTGGCTAGACACAAATATCACCCCTGTTTATGACTGGTGTAAGCCTGTACCGGGAAGCAAGCAGCCCTTTTTGCATTATAGATCTAGAATATATTCAGTTTGTGTATTAAGGCTACATTAACAGTCCTGTATAGACTCTCTACAACTGACTGAACAAACAATCCAAACCAAAGAAGACACACAGTACTGCTGTCGCTATTACGAGAGATGTTTATGGGTGGGTATTTCATCCTAGCAACAAAGCCTGTGTTTTCAAAAGAAATTGATTCTAAAAACGTGCAAATATATGATAAGAACAATGTATTGATCTGCTAAAGATTGCACTACTAACCAGAAAACAGCAATAAGAGGTTTCTTATCTTTGAAAAACTGACCTTTTTTGCCGGGTACAAGTGGAGGCTTTCCTCACAGCTTGTACAATATGAGCTGTGGACAGAGGTCTATAAGGTGTTTCCCTGTGTCTTCAGAGATGTTTTAAACTCAGCAAAATGATTTCAAGTCTCTACTTTCTCTATCCTAATGGTCCACACAGTTGTACTTTGCTTTGTTCTTTGGCAAAAGGAGGCACATTGGAGACAGGATTGAACCTAACTGCTGTTTTAAATCTCTGGCTTTAAAAGTGAAAATCATTCAGGAACTGGTTCTCTTAACTTCTCTGGGTTAGTTTCTGAGCTGGATGCTTTTTATTAAATACACTTTTATCACCCCATATTGCAATAAAATGTATATCGATTAGCAAGGATACTCTTAAACCACCAATAAGATCATCCTCTATAGAGAACAATTGTCACAGGATGATGCCTTTTGTGTAATTTGTACTCATTGCTTCATTGCTTTGGTACAGGATGTATTTTATTCTCGTATCTTTCTTTCTTTATTTGTACTATTTCAGTCAATTCATTGTGCTATCTGAACATTTTCTCCTTCCGTCCACATACAGGATACTACACTTGCGTGGAGGTTATCTTCACCCTAAGGCGACAGGTTGGCTTCTACATGATGGGTGTTTATGCCCCCACTCTGCTTATCGTGGTTCTCTCCTGGCTGTCCTTTTGGATCAACCCGGACGCGAGTGCCGCCAGAGTACCTTTGGGTATGGATCCTTTCACTAACATTGTATTCCACGTGTCCACCAGTACATAAATGACCTGTTGTCATCCAGCACGATTAAACGTTAAAGTACATTTTAAAAAGGGGGTTTACTGTTGCATTGATGCTGTGATAATCGGAGGCTAACATTACTCTTTAAAAAGATTAATGTGAAACTGAAGTAGGTAAAATACTGAAAGCAATAAACAGAAACCACTCTAAAAGATTTGGATGTTTTTTATTGATCACAAAGCTTGTGGCCCCAATTAACTACATCTCAACTTCATTAATCACTTTGACACCATGAAGGATTCTATCTGTCAAGGGCGGCACCATGTCCAGAGTTTGTGCTATATCATTGAACACAACTGTAATGGACAGATGGGACCTGCTGATGTGATGCCAGAAGCACAGAATCACTGAAAGTGCCTTGTCTAAATCTTAATGCACAAAACTTTGTGCCAAAGGATTAAGGCCATATTCAATGGCAGTTACTGTATGCATGCATTCAAACAAGTAACTGAGAAGCATAAATTTTTGCTAATATAAACATAATCTGTTTTATTTATGCCATTTAGGGGCACAAAATCAAGTGTGGCAAGCAGATCATCCCTACAACCATGTCGAAATGGTTTTGTTTTAGATGGGAGAGGAGTTATTTTGAGAGGCAAAACCTGCATCTATGTTTAAAAAGACAGTCACTCTACATATTTAGAAAAGAAAAAACTGTGTTTGCATGTGCTGGACTTTCAGAGTGAAACCCTGACATTGGGATCATTCACTTTGTTTGGGTCAAAATAATAAAAGAACACAGTAATCTCATGAATTTGTTCACTGGAACTCGCACTCTTACCATCAGATATTCATTGTTTTCTGTTATTTAATCCAAAATAGCTCAAATCTCTGTTTTTTTAAAAGTATTTTGATTCTCTTTGACCAAACAGAAATTAAATATTCATGCCTTTAAACCACAAATTGTGAACCTCCCCAATTGTGAACAAAGATACGATGTGTTACACTGCATTATAAAACAATATATATATATATATTAGTATAGTTCTAACTGTATAAAATATTCTTTTTAAAATTGGTATTTTCTTGTCCTCCATAATTCAGCCCAGGTGTAATATGTCAGTGTCACCTCCCCTATCACACTGTTACTGCTGTATGTGTGTGAAGGGCTACAGGGATAAGATAATCCATTGTTATCCCACTTCAGTCATCTGTTGCCTCCTTTTCTCCATCCTCACCCCAGTTGTTTATCATCACTTTCATTCCATCATCACCCCCAATCCTCCTGGAAGCCTTCTCTGTAAATGAGATCAGTCCACGTCAGTCATCACTCAGCTGGGTGTAAATGTGTGTGAAGAAATGCATTTATGTGTTTATTTAACTTAGAGCAGACACAAATACACTGTGTTTTATCTGTGTCTTCTTCTAAAATGAAGCTATGCGTACAAACAGTTGTTGTTTTCACCGCGAATGATAATCTCTCTTTGCAAAAAAAAAAAAAACAGAGATCCATTTAGGAGTCCTAACTACAGATATGATCCCAGGAACTCTTTTGTGAGCTTTTTATTAAGGAGATGGTTCTTTTATTTCAGAGCAGGAAAAATGTGTAATTTATTTCTCGATAGTCAGTTGATTATTCAGATGTTTTTCAAAATTGGAAATAAACAATAAGGTCTTAAAAGACCGTATTTATATCATGATACCATATTAAAACTTCATTAGATTATATGCTAATATTCAACACACATCAAAATCTTCTCAAATATCAATTTGTTTTTCATCAAAATGTTTGAATGCTAAAAAAAAGAATGAAATTTGAGTTGACAGGGTTTTTTTTGGCTGATAGATGTTGCTAGAAATGGATACTGAATTAATATTGAGGTATAGATATTGCATTAACAATAGTATAACTTCAAAACGTATAGTTATAGTTAATTTTTCCCACATTTTGTCATCTGACAAAGTTACTTGTGCTTCCCTCATGTTCAGGCATCCTCTCAGTGCTCTCTCTGTCCTCTGAGTGCACGTCCTTAGCTTCAGAGCTGCCCAAAGTGTCCTACGTCAAGGCCATCGACATCTGGCTCATTGCTTGCCTGCTATTCGGTTTTGCCTCGCTTGTGGAGTACGCCGTTGTTCAAGTGATGCTCAACAGCCCCAAGCGCATCGAGGCGGAGAAGGCCAAGATAGCATCCAAAGAGAAGGCTGCTGGAAAGAGCCCCGCTGCCAGGAACAACACAGTCAACGGCACCGGAGGGACTCCGCTTCATGTCAGCACCTTACATGTCAGTGAAGCCGGTTTCCGACCTCGCATGTGTGTGTCTCTGTGATGCATGTGCTTAGCACATTCCACCTTATTTTCAGACTCTCGAAATTAAGAAATGAAGCCTTTCAGTTCAGTTCCAGTATGGTTATTTAAATCTATCAGCTCTTTCCCTTCTTGTTTCTTATATAAATTGACACTGTCATAGTCTAAAAGAGGCCAATTACCCACGCCTTACCCTTATAAAGATGAGAAAGAACTTGTACTTTATCTTCTATAAATCAGTAGTCATCCTTGTGGTTGTGCATTGGAAATGAAACATAGCTAGCTACTGCAGCTAAGTACTTTGACTGTATTTATATAGTGGAGATCCGGTGTAGCCAACCGCTCAATAACTTTGTAGGAGTAGTTAATCTCTGCAGCCATCACAGCCCTGATAATGAAAACTATAAACTAAAATTATAAGATACTTACAAGACGAGATGAAGCGTGGCGGTAACACCGAGAAATCCCATTAGCAGTTTAACCTCAAATATTTTTTTAAAGTTTGTTCAAGAACAAAAACCTTAACAACCTGCAGTCCCTCTTTAAAAGAGCCAGAGAAAGTGGTGGTGAAGACAAGGTCTCTACTAGGACCCCCATTACACAGATAAGCCTACATATATTTATGTGAAAATGATACACATTGATAAATGGAGTAAAATAACTTTCGGGATGTTGAAGATCAGACACATGATTCTATTTTTTCTCCCACTCTCAGTAACACACAGTGAAACAGGGAAATCCAGTAATAAAAATCTATGTATCGTCCATAGCACGTGCATCGAGTGCCAAGTCAGGCTAAACAAAAAACTGACAATTGTACGCTTTGAGAATTGAGAATGCCGAATGTGTTGGTCTTCCAATTGTATGCCTAATTAAAACTAGAAAATTTCTGAAGAAATTTTGGAGGGGGGCCACCCGCTGCCCGTCCGGGAACCCGGGGCGGGTCGGCCAATCCATGTTTGGGCTCTCTGTAATGTGGGCTCGCGCCTATGAGAGGGCCTGAGGTGATGGAGGGACCCGGCTGAGCTCTGGGGCCCGCTGACCGAATGCGGATGGGGTGGGCAGGTCGGGGGTCACGTTGGCTGAAAGCTGAGAAAAAGACCTACGCTACGAGGTATGACATGGCCCCGGTCCGGTTCTGACCCGGTTGGGTCCTAACCCTAGAACCGGAACCAGAACCGGGCTCTGGCTAAAGCCCTTTAGGCGGGCTTCGCCCGCCTTGAATCACAAATAACGTATTTCTTGAAAAATCATTGAGAGCGGGCTTCGCCCGCCTTGAACCAGGAGTATGACATGGCCCCGGTCCGGTTCCGACCCGGTTGGGTCCTATCCCCTCGAACCGGAACCAGAACCGGGCTCTGACTAAAGCCCTCTAAGCGGGCTTCGCCCGCCATGGTAACAAAAAATACTGTATTTCTTAAAAAATCACTTAGAGCGGGCTTCGCCCGCTTTTTGCCAGTATCACTGTCTTAGTTAAATCTTTCTAAGCGGGCTTCGCCCGCTTTTTGCCA